GACTGCGCGTGGCGGCCAACATGCGCGCAGCGGTCCTTGCCGTAGTAGATGCGGCGGTTGGCCCACGACGGCTCGCCCGACAGATGCGTGACGGCCTTGATGGCTGCCTGGATGCTGGCGAGGTGCACAAACGCGATGCGCTTCTCGGTCAGCACCTTGATGTGATCAATGGGGCCAAAGGCCGCAAAGGTCTCTGTGAGGAACGACTCGGTCATGGTCTGGTCGTCCAGGTTGCCCAGGAACACATTGCGGCTGGCGCCTTGCTGGACGGCCTGAAGGACGGTGGGCAGCGGCGTGGACGGCTTGCCCCATCCGACCTTGACGTCCTGGCCCTGGACCGTCAGGCGGCGCGACTGCGACTCCTGGAAGACGGTGCTGGCCACCGACGCCTCCAGAAAGGTGATGAACGCACAGTTGCGATCGTCCAGGATCTTGACGTGTTCAATGGCGCCGCCCTTGATGCAGTTGAGCAGCTCTTCCATGGTGACGTCGGCGGGCAGATTGCCAAAGTAGAGCGTGCGCATTGCATCGTTGGTCTGCTGCTGCTGTTGCTGCTGCTGCTGCTGCGCGGATGCGTGGCCAGATGCCGCAGCCACGGCAGCAGCGAGCGACGCGGCGACAGACGGAACCATGCCCGGCTGTTGGCTGGCGGGTTGCTGGGTATACGTGTTTGGAGAAAGCAAGAGATGCTGCGGTTGCTGCAGTTGCTGCTGCTGAGCCTGCGTTCCAATGGGCGATGCGTACATCATGGCGTGTGGGCCGGTCATTGGCGCACCGACCATCAGGGCCGACGTGTCCAAGAACGGCTGCTGACGCCGTCGCTGTGCGTGTGAGCGTGGTGGTGGGCGTGATGGTGCGGCGCCGAGGGTGCGGCAACGGCGGTCGATGCCGTGTGGGGCGGCATTGTGATTGCTGGAGGAGCTGCTGACAGCAGCATGTGGGGCAGATCGAGGAGCGGGTCGGAGCACAGGCAGGACAACGGGCGGAGTGCAGCGACGACGATGTGCACCAGTGTAGGATCTTGGCGTGTCTATGGGAGCGGGCGGAGATGCGAGTGCCTGTGCGCAACCAGGAGCCAGTGTCAGTTGGGCGGGCAGCAGACGCGGCGGTGGTGGTGCACACTGCCGCGGCACGACACGCAAGGCAAGGCGGCCGCTGCACGCACCTGCTGCTGCAAAGGTTTGTGGTCGTGGTTGTGGTCAAGGGATGCGGCGCAACGAACGTGAAAGCACAAGGAGCGACGGCGGCGGCGGCGACGACGGCAAAGGAAATCGTGTGGGCCGTTCAACAGGGCAGGTGGCGGCGAGAGCGATGACGGCACCTGGCAGGCAAGGCACGCGAGGCGCGCGGGGCGTGGTGCACGGGTCAGCCAGGCCGGCCTTGGCAGCGTGCACAGTGAAGGCGGGCAGGCGGCGGCAGCAGGCAAGCAGGGCTGCGCATACCGGTCGGAGGCCTGGAGAGAGGGAAGCAGCAGGCGGCGGCAGAAAGAGGCGCAAAAATGTCTGCGGGCAGCGTCAGTAGGCAGCGGGGTGGCAGGTGGCAGGTGGCAGGTGGCAGGCGGCAGGTGGCAGGGCGGCCTGCTGGACGATGCACATGGCCAGATGCACCAGCGTACAAGCGTGTGTATAAGTGTGTGTGGTGTAAGCGTGCACAGGTCGCGCCGCCTGCTGCCTGTGCTGCTCGCGGGCGACGCCGTGCGGCCATCTGTGTGTTGGCTGAAAGGCGGCGTCGCTTCAGCAACTGCCGCTGATCCGCTGCCTGATGCTGCTGGTACTGCTGGCGCTGCCGATGCTGCTGAACCGCTGCTGCTGCTGCTGAACGATGCCCGCACACGCCTGCATGGCCGCATGCACCTGCACCTGCACACACGCTGTGCTGTTCATGCCAAGCCTCTGGTGCACAGCGACTCACTGGTGATGCTCCGCTCAACCGTCGCTCAATGCCAACGTGCAACGAAAGCTGTCAATTTGGCAAAGTTTCTCAAAACAACACAAATTTTAGTCGGCTTCTGGCGCAGTGTCCCGCTCGTCCGCACTTGCGGCACTCGTCGCACTCACGGCGCTGCTTCGTCCTTCGAGGTTGCTCGGCGTCACGGATTCGGTCGGCGTCGACGGCCCTTGGACCTGCAGCCATCGGCTTTCGCGCGGTCGGTCGGTCATGGCATGGCTCGACGGGCGTGGTGCAGACCGCTCGCTTCGCCGCCCCTTGACTGGCCGCGACACGGACACAAAGCTGGCCACTTGGCTTTCTGCAACCTGGCTGGCTGCCATCTGGCTGCCCAGCCGCGAGGCGGCATCGGATTTGGCTGCCCGCGTCGACGACGAAAAGCGCGGTGGCTTCAGATGCTTGGATGTTCCCGCTTGGTGCATGTACTCATCATTCCAGCTGGGCTCCGCGAAGCCCGTGCCGCTCTTGAGCACATTGTCCGGTGCACCGGAATGCGCGCCGCTTGCGCTGTACACAAAGTCTATCCCAGCACTGCTGACGTCGCTCTCCATCACAGACTTTTGCCAGTCTGGACGGTTGCGGCCCTGGCGTCGCTGTGAATCCAGCTGCTGCCGCACAAACCTTTTGCGCGCGTCTTGGTTAGTGGTCTGGAATGACGATTATACAAGACAAGGACGAGTAAACATACTCTTTCTCGGGGGATGCGGACAGAGTCTTGCGAATAATCAAAAAGTAGAACCCAGTGAGCACGACGCCGATGCCAATGAGGATAAAGACAATCAGCAGGAACGCCTTTGAGATGTATGCAAGGCCAATAATGCCAGCACTGGAGACCAGAATCACGTAGACAGCGCCAAGGATCCCGAATGGACTGTGGAACGGGCGGTCTAGATTCGGCATCCATATCTTGAGCTTGACCTGGGACGGTCATGGCATGTGGGTCAACTCGTGATGCCTTTGACAGTCTGCACACGGCACACAGTGCTATCCCGGCACGCGACTCACGTATACGGCCATGTCAAAGACCCATGCCATGAGCGCGAAAATGGCAGCAGTGTCCAAAAAGGCGTCGGATGCGTTTGCATACTTGACGGCAATGGCCACGCATGCCATGAGCACCGCCCCCGCTGTCAGTGCCACGAACGGGGCACGATCGTTCTTGGACGTCAAAGCCAGCACGGCCGGCAGGTACCCGCCCCGTGCGAGCGCATACATGTATCGACTGTATCCGTAGATCGACGACATGGACGACGCCAGAATCCCTGGGATGATCAACAGCACGAGCCCGCTTTGGCACGAACTGCCAGCGCTGGTGTCGGCGCATCCTAGAATGGCTGAAAGAGATGTCACTTGCGGGAATGTTGCGCGCGAGATGGCTGCGAGTCCTGGTGGCACGGTTGCCGACGAGATGATCAGAGCGCCAGTGGCGAGCGGAATCAGGGTCATCATGCCCGCAAACATGCCCTCTGGGAGTGTCTTGCGAGCATGCAGCGACTCTTCGGCAATTACAGGCAGCACTGGACATGCAATGCGTCAGGACCAGACGATTACTGGAGGGGTAAAGCGTGTGCATGGCTAAAACGGCACCGCTGCACTGCGACCGACCTTCGAACCCCACATACAAGTACATTGCTGATGGCAGAGCACGTGCCACGCCCCAGACACCGCCGGGAAACGCGTCCGACCATGTAAGCCCTTCAGACATGATGCGGACCGATGTGAAATGCAATGCGTCCACAACACGCCACGCCTTGAATGTCGCGCCGAGATCCACAAACTTGACTTGTGCTGCCAAGATGCCCACCAAGATGACGCACGAGAGGAGAGCCAGATATGCATTGACTTCAAAGAAAAGACGCGGCTTGAGGTTGATGCAGGTGCATAAGCCAAGGCCGATGAGCCACCAGACAGGCTCGAGATAGTCTGGCAGCTGTGTGAGCGCTGTCATGGAGTTGCCGAAATACACCATGGCCTGGCCAGAAATCATGATGAGCTCGATGCAGTAGGAGAAGCCCAGGAGCGTCGACGCAAGACCGCCAACTGCCATCCACGATCACGCGTCAGCTGCACGCTGGCACAGAATTCTGTGGATAACGATTGCCCTTACAAGCTGCGTACGAGTAGACGACACAGGCACTCGAGAACGGAAACATGGCTGCCATCTCGGCGCAAGACGCCGATACGCACATGACCATGATGGTGACAATGACATGTGCCGCAATCATGCTCCCAAATCCGTAGATCAGGCCGAGGTTGAAGCCCGCAAACTCGCCCGATATTACGATCCCGACGATCACGCCCCATCTGTTTCATACCGGCGTACCAAACAGAACAGAACAGAGCAGTTAGCCCGCGGCATAAATCACATCGTGACGTCATTGGACCAGAATTGCGTCGCATCGCGGAACCACGATCCCAAGTCACACGCAGTCGCGACCGCCAGACGCGGTGCGGAACCACGCCAGCCACAACGCAACATACATGTGCCAACGGTTCGCAAAAGGCTCGCCGAGCTGCCGCCGTTCTGCGATAGCACGCATGTAAGCCAGTGCATGCGATGCCAAAGTGCCTCGATCCACACATGCGATTGCGCACCGACATATTCCTGGTCAAGCGTCCGCTTGAGTTCCTTTGAGACGAGATCGATTTCGAGCAATGCGTCTGGTCCTGCGCCACAAACACACACACGCCCCCGCAGCTTGTTATCAGGCTGGCCATTTACACTCACCAATCGAATAGCATCTTACCTCGACGTTCGTCGGCCGCCTGCAGCCGACTGACGCCTACATCTACCGACAGCGCTACGGCAAGCGAGGTTGTGCAGTGTGAGTGTTGGGGACCACCCATCCAGTGAGCGCCAGATCCGAGCCAGAATACCTTGGGCATGTGAATGAAGGATGCCTGTCACGGGCATTTTCAGTGTCTTGGCCAACCACGAATCAGCCCTTTTTTCCATCAAGTCCGTCGCCAGATCCTGCATCTCGCGTGACGTCATTTGTCAAAGCACATGGTAAAGGATATATTGTTTTTGCAAATTTCCAAGCCAAGGAGAGCGGTCACTGGTCTAAGGGTTATGATTCTCGCTTAGGGTGCGAGGGGCTCCCGGTTCGAGTCCGGGGTGACCCCACTCTTCTGTTTTTGTCGATTTTTGGATCGGTTCCAAGGTCACGTGACTGGCCAACCACACAACATATCCCGTCGTTCATTGCTGCCAAATGGCCGACTGACACGGAAACAGACTGCAATGCCGCTCTTCACCAGCACACTGTGCGGATTGCGTCTGTCTGGACCCGCGCGCCGCTCTCACTTGGATTTGGCGAGCACATTGGCAATAAACTGCTTCATCCCGGGGCTGATCTTGGGATTGTCCGCGACCGCGTCCACGTTCACGTCAGCAGGCCGATTGATGACGAGCCACTCGACGATTTTCTTGTAGCCATGCTTTGCAGCAGCCTCCAGTGCAACCGGCGTGCATGCAGTGCTGTGTACAATCTGCAGCAGCTGGAGGGTCACGAAGCGGCCGTGGTGGGCAGCAAGATCCATGGCATGGATCCGGTCGACGCCGACCACACAGTGAATACGCGTGTACTTTGCCAGATCCACATTGTGGTGCATCGCAAGGTGCGCAAGCAGTTTGTTGTGGCCGTACTGAATGGCGATCCATCCGAGGGCGATCGGGTAGGTAAAGTCCAGCAGCTCAAACCATCCGCGTCGCATGGGAATGTGCCGCAGCTGCTGGTCGAGCTGCAAGTGGCCGTACGAGTCGAGAAAAGCGCTGGTGTAGCTGTTCATGCGCTTGTCTATACGCACCTGTTCGGCAGTATCGTTTTGGTACGGAAACCGCACCAGCAGACGCGCGTACATGTCTCGATCCGTCACAAAGTACATGTTGACTCTGTTCTCGCGGCCGTCTGGGTCGAGGCGGACCAGGCCAGGAAGACGCGCCAGATCCCCGCCCCAGCTTGTTTTGAGAGCATCGTTCCAGATGCAACGCAGGTTGTTGTCAAGGTTCTCATAGTCATCCAGGTCGATTTTGCCGTCAAGGAAGCGCTCGAGGTACCCGTCACTTTTCCGCACTGGGAGGGGCATTGAAATGACATTAAACTTGGGAGTTGGTTTGGCCGGCAATGCTGGCTGTTCTTTGGCCAACGCTGGCTGTTCTTTGGAGTGTTCCTCGGCAGACACGGTCATCTTCACAGACGTGCGAGTCAGCACATGCTTTCTGGGTGTATCAAAGCCGTGTTCAGTCCGCATCAGCACCACCTTTTGCATGCTTGCAGCAAGTGCCTCGCAGTTTTCGTCTGTAGAAGGCGGCGCATCGGCGACAGGCGGGCCACGTGGCGGCAAGCTTTTGGTAAGGACTTTCTTGAGAAGCACCAGGCTAGAAACACGACGGTCCTCAGTCGTTGTGAGACGGGGCATGCGCTGTAGCTTTGCGTGAGGCGTGACGGCACAGCCGCTGTCGTCTCGGACACCAGCCTCGCCGTTGCTTGCGGCAGGAGCAGGAGCAGGAGCAGCAGGCACGCAAGCCTTGCTTCTTCTGTGTCTGGCCATCTCGCGACTCGTTCTGCGTTTACAGACGACCGACCACGAGCCGCTTCTCGCCGACTTTGCAAACACGCCGTCACGTGACCAGCATTGAATGGCGCTTGCTCGTGCTCGTGCGTGGGCACTTGGCGTGCTCGCCGGCATCAGCATGTCGTCGACGGCACGTGGGCGAGGACGTGGAGGCCCGGCAGGCGGCAGAGGTTACGGCAGAGCCAGAGCGCGCGGCCGCACCAGCGAGCAGCAGAGGCTTGCGCAGCGAGAGCAGGAGCGGCTGTGGCGGCTGCAGAATCTGGCGGCCGCTGAAGCCACTGAAGCCGAAGCTGCCGGCGATGAGCCTGCAGCATCAGCAGAGCCAACGGTCCCTGCTGCTGCTGCTGCTACTGCTGCTGCTGCTGCGATTCCCGGCTACGTCTTTGTGAGTGCGCGCTTGCTGCAACCGCCAGCCAGCCAGCCAGCCAGCCACCAGAGCCGCTCATGCGTGGACGCTCTTGAATGCCAGGACGCCGGACGCAAGCGCTTCTTCAAGATCGTCCGCGACTCGCACGCCACGGACGTGTCGCAGGCACACTCTCGCAGCGCTGTCCGCGACCGCTCGACCCAGGCCGCCAACCTCGCATCGCTGTCGACGCTGCAGGCGCAGACAAAGACACAGGTGTCGGCCGTGCCTGTCCGTGTCTTGATCGCACAGCCCACATACTGACTCGTCTGCGCCAACAGATCCGGCTGGCATCAAGGCAAATACCCACGGCTTCCTACTCATCCATGCCGCTGTTCCTGCACGATCGCGAGCTGGGCCAGCGCCCTGCCGAGCCGGCAACCGTGTCAGCCAGTCGCGCATGGGATACCATGTTCAGCAAGCTGCGGCTGCAATGCAGGTTGACGTTGAATGCATCAGACGGCCAGCTCACGCCGCACCTATCGCCGCTGTCGCGATCAACGCCTGTTCTCGACTCGCCGCATTCTCCCGCAGCATCGCGGCATATGCGCGCTCGTCGCTCGTCGTGGCAGGCGCGACTGCTGCAACAGCCAAGCCCGACATCGCCGGCTGTTTCGCCCAGTCGGCCATCAACACCAACAGTCTCCGTACCAGCGCAGCTAGCATCCCAACCCTCACCCCAGTCGCCGTCTGCAACACTCAGCATCTCCAGCTTCCGGATCAACACAGTGTCTCGGACGCTGGCATTGTGCAGATCAGATGGCACTGTGCGGGCATACCAGCTTGAGCGCGATCCGCAGCACGACACGTTTGTTCCCAGTCTGACGGCACGGCCCCGTCTCGTGGGCCGACACCAGTCGCAGGTCCGTCGCAGTGCACTGCCTTGGTGCTGGCTGCTATGCTGTTTCTGACATGTGCGCGTGGTCCGAACAGGTGTCCTCTGTTCTTGTGGAGACATGGGACACAACCCAGATCATTGCGTAAGCATGCCAGCTCCCGTGCGTGCGTGCGTGTCGCCGATCTTGTTCAACTGATCATCTCGACAGCGTCACAACACTTGGCACTGAGCTGACATCAGGCGAGCTGTGCATCTACGCGTCGCCGTCTGATCAACAACCCGATTCTGCCCACTCGAGACAGTCGGATTCGCGTGAGCGTCTTTTGGGTTCAGTGCTCGCCATACTGCCTGCAATCGCTGACATTTTCGTTGCATGCTAGTCCGTGAGCAACGATTCACGCCGCGAAAGACTGTCAGCATGTGGTCTTGCACGATGCAGCCGGCTGGATCACGCGCGTTGGCTATCGGTGCGTTTGTCTAGGTGCCGTTAGCAGGACCATACTTACATGGCTTAGCAGGTGCCTCTGGAGTGACGTATGTGCTCAGCAACTGGGAGCACGCCATCACAGCCGTGCAGTTCCTGTCCATGCCGACAAAGTCTGACGTTTTCTCGCTTGCATTCGACTCGGACCATGTGCGTGCCGCTTCCGCTTCTTGCTTTGAGACGGGCAATGCTAACAACGAGACCCCGGCAGGTGCACATGCTGTACAGTGGCACACGCGGCGGCGGGATCTACGGCTACGATCTGCGGGCATACAGCGGCGTACGGCCAGCACGCGAGCTCATTGCCCCGACGTCAGCCGGACCGCACCTTCCACCATCGCCCATCACGAGTCTGGTATCGCTCGGATCACACGCGTGCCAACCTGGCGGTGGAGCGAGTGTTGCGGGCGGTGTGGTGCTATCGGCGCGACTGGATGGCCAGATTGTTGTATGGGATATGCGATGGACTGGCAGCCCGCTGATGGTTCTTGGCGGCGCGTCCAACTCATCGCGCAGCGTGCACCTGGATGTTGCCGTAGCACCGACTGCATCGCCCGTCTTTGACGACGACCATGTGCCAAGTGGCGAGACTGTGCCTGGCGCTGTTGTGTTGGCTGCAACGGACGACGGCTGGTTTCGGTCATGGAGCCTTGTGACTGGAAATCTGCTTTGTGCATGGCAGACTGGGGCACTGCCTGGTGCGATTGGCGGCGCTGTGCAATGGGATGGCGGCTGTGGCGCGTGGGTGTCGGATGGTGACTCTGTCAGCCACTATACATCCATTGTGTAATTGTGTCTCTTCTTCTGTAACATAGCAAGAGATGGTCGATGTTTGCAGGTTTATGATGTGACCAATGCGATCAATGCGAGAGTGGTGCCAACGAAAGAGAAGGACGAGAAATGCAACGTCGCATGCACTTGTCAAGGCTTTGGCTGCTGCTGCTGCTGCTGCTGCTGCTGCTGCTGCTGCTGCTGCTGCTGCTGCTGTGGAGACGACGACGATCCAGTGCCAAACCATCGCCCAAGTGTGTGCATCCAGCTTCGAGACCCTGCCCAGCTCGACTGTGGCTGCCGTCGGCGGTCCAGCAGCACGATTTGCCGGCTTGGCAGATCCATAGCAACCACGTACAGCTCCCACTCGGTCGACAGGGCATTCAGATGGCCTTGAGCCGGCTCCGTGGCAGCGCGCGGCTCGCCCGACGGCGACAGGATCGAGCTTGCAAGTGCACCAACAACGCTGTCGCTCTTGAGCCGCCGTGCTTCCACATTCACGACGCCATGCTGCTTCGGCCCGTGGACAAAGAACCGCATGTTCATGATGCGCACCATGCGTCCTTCTGCGCTACTGCTGCCAGTGCTGCCAGTGCTGCCACTGCTGCTGCTACTAGATGCCGGGATCTCGACTTCAGAGTGGCTCAGCGAGCGGCTGCCGCGCGCGCCAAGGGGGCCAGGACCCGGCTGCACGTGCAACGGATCGCCTAGCAGCGCACGCACTCTGGAGTCGTCCTGGATGAGCTGGACCGCCTTGTCGTAGACGGCCCAGGCGTCCTGCGTGGCGCTCAGGTCTCTGTACACAAAGTACATGGCCGTGCCGAGAACCAGGGCGCCGCCGCCGACAAGCACGCCAAAGAAGGTCGTTTTGCCTGCGTGGACGACTGGGCAGCGCATGGCGTGAGTGTGTCCGTATGTGTGTGCCTGTGTGTGTGCGTATGTGCGTGCCGCACTCACCTCGCTGGCCGGCGGTCATGTCGGACCAGGCGACCGCATTGGCGCCGGTCGGTGCGAGCGTGCTGCGCAAGGCGTTGGACGCCGCGGCCGCC